TTTACGGTCTCCTCTTCTCTTACTCCCCCAGATATGCAACAGATCTCGTGGTGTGTGTGGCTTTGGGTTGTGACATGTTTGACTGTGTGTTTCCCACACGGACAGCGGTAAGAGTTCCAGGTTTTCAGGATGGCAATCTGTAACTAGTGGAGTGCCACAGGGATCAGTTCTGGGGCCACAATTATTTTCAATGTATGTTGATGATTTGGATGAGGAAAGTGAATGTACTGTTACCAGGTTTGCGGATGATACAAAAATAGGAATGGAGAGAGATTAAATGGGTGGGCAAAAACTTGGCAGATGAAATACAATGTGGAAAAATGTGAGCCTATGTGGACGGATCATGGAAAAATGTGAAAACAACAGGGTTATTGTGGTCCGTGATTTTAACTTCCCCTGTATTAACTTGGATTCCCTTAGTGCCAGGGGCTTGAATGAGGGGGATTTATTACGTGTTTCCGGGAGAGTCCTTTGAAACAATATGTAAATAGTCCAAACAGGGAAGGGGCCATAGGTAGACCTGCATTGGGGAATGAACCCAGCCAGGTGATCGAAGTTTCAGTGGGGGAGCATTTTGGAAACAGTGACTATAATTCTGTAAGTTTTAAGTTACTTATGGATAAGAGTGGCCCTTGGATGAAAGTATTAAAGCTAACTATCATAACATTAAGGAACTGGCCTTTAAAAGATTCCCATGTGCCAGATGTGGATTTACTCTCAAACAGCTGCCCCCAGCATACATTCTCCACCTTCTGCCTAGTGTTCAAGACCAGTATATTCCTGTGAAAATGAAGGATAAGGATGGCAAGATTCAGGAACCTTGGATGACCAGAGAAACTGAGAGCTTAGTCAGAAACAAAAAGGAGGCATATATAAGGTTTCAGAAACTGACGGCAGACAGATCCTTCGAAGAATACAAGGAGAGCAGGAAATAACTCGAATAAGGAATTAGGAGGGCTAAAAGGGGCCATGAAATGTCTTTGGCAAACAGGATTAAGGAAAGGCGTTTTATACATGTATAAGGAGCACGAGGGTGGCTAGGGAAAGGGTAGGCCCACTCAAGGACAAAGGAGGGAATTTATGTGTAGAGCCGGAGGAAGTGGATGAGGTTCTAAAACAATATTTTGCATCAGTATTCACAAAGGAGAAGGACATGGTGGATGGTGAGTCTAGAGAAGGGAATGTTGATATTCTGGGCATGTCAGTATAAAAAAGGAGGTGCTGCGTATTTTTAAAAAGCACTAAGATAGACCAGTTCACAGGATCTGATTGGATCTATCTCAGAATGCTGAGGGACACAGGTGAAGAAATTGCTGGGGCCTTGTACAAAATTTTTGTATCCTCGTTCATCACAGGAGAAGTCCCAGAGGACTGGAGAACAGCCAACGTTGTTCCTTTGTTTAAGAAGGGCAACGGGGATAATCTGGGAAATTACAGGCCGGTAAGCCTTACATCAGTGGTAGGGAAATTATTGGAGGAGATTCTTAGGTATAGGATTTATTCACATATGGAAAAATATGGACTTATTAGCGATAGGTGGGATGGCTTTGTGCAGGGAAGGTTGTGTCTCTCAAATTTGAGCTTTTTGAGGAAGTGACAAAGATTATTGATGAAGGCAAGCGGTAGGTGTTTATCTATCTGGCTTTTGACAAGGTCCCGCATGGCAGGCTGATACAAAGGTGAAGTCACATGGGATCCACAGTGTGATGGTAAGATGGATACAGAATTGCCTTGCTTACGGAAGACTGAGAGTAGTGCTCGAAGGGTGTTTTCTTTTTTGACTAGAGAGCTGTGATCAGTGGTGTTCCATAGAGATCAGTGCTGGAACCCCTGTTGTTTGTAATATCTATGAATGATTTGGAGGAGCCTGATTAGTAAATTTGTGAACAACACAAAGATTGGGGGAGCTGTGGCCAGTGCAGATTGTCAGAGGATACAGCAAGATATAGATAGACTGGAGATGTGGGCGGAGAAATGGGAGACTGAGTTTAATCTGAACAAATGTGAGCTGATGTATCTTGGGAGATCTAATGCAGGAGAGAAATATATGGTAAATGGCAGAACCCTTATTAGCATCAACATAGAGGGATCGAGGCGTACAGGACCACCGTTCCCTGAAAGTAGCTCCACAAGTAGATAAGCTAGTCAATGTATATAGTATGCTTACCTTCATCGGTCAGAACATGCAGCATAAAAATTGGCAAGTCATGTTGTAACTGTATAGAACTTTAGTGAGGCCACATTTGGAATACTGTGTACAGTTCTGATCACCATACTACCAGAGGGATGTGAAGGCTGTGGAGAGGGTACAGACAACATGGACGCAAAATGTTTTTAGTTTGCAAAGGTATCATGTATTGGCACAGTCTAACTGTGCTATGGTGTTCTTTGTTCACTAGGCTGATACCGGGTTTGGAGGGATTTTTGAGGAGAGGTTGAGTAGCTTGGACTTGTACTCGTTAAAATTTGGAAAAATGAGAGGATACTTGATTGAAATGTGCAAAATTCTTATGGGACTTAACAGAGTCGATTCAGAAAGCTCGTTTTCCCTTGTGGCGAGTCTAGGACCAGAGGACATAATGTCAAGAGTAAGGAATTGCCCATTTAAGACAGAAGAGGAGGAACTTTTTGAGGATGGTGTTTTTTGAAATTCTTTACCACAGACAGCTGCCGAGCCTGAGTCATATGTATATAAAAGGCTGAGATCGGCAGATTTTTAATCAGTAAAGGTTATGGGGTTAAGGTTGGAAAGTGGAGTTGAGGATTATCAAGTCAGCCATAATCTCATTAAATGGCAGAGCTGACCTAATGGCCTGAATGGCTGACTTCTGGTTCTGTGTCTTTGGATCTTAGAATTCTTTCATTGGTACCATTAGCAGACCTGGTCAGTTGGACATGGAATCCTTTCCTACTATAAGATGTGTAGATGTGATTATGTCAGTGTTTTCTGTTCCAAGAGCACATATTTGCAGAACTGTGTAAAGCAGCTATTGTTTTGGTGATTGTATGGGGAGAGAATGGTCTCTGACCAGACAGTGCTCAGGATGTGCAAGGGAAACTTTTAAATGATGTGGTTTGGAGTTGAATGAAGCAATTTTGCAAGATGTAACAGGATGTTTAGCTAGAAACTAATAACTGAATTTAAGTTGCTTGAGAATGGCAGAGGAATCTAAAAATGGATCGTATCTAAGGTTTTGGAGTAGATTTGTAGCTTGGGTTGTGGGTGTTGAGGTTGATTGGCTCGCCGAGCTGGTTTGTTGTTCCGCAGATGTTTCGTTACCGTGCTTGGTAACATCCTCAGTGCAGCCTCTGATGAAGTGTCGGTGTGTTTTGCCGCCTGGCTTTTAAACTCTGGGGTCCGTTGCGATGGATTGCCTAACTTCCAGGTTTCCTCCGTAGTAGAATGTATATGTGGTCGAGTTCAATGTATTTATTAATAGCCTGCTTCGTGGAGTGCCATGCTTCCAGGAATTCTTGTGCTTGTCTCTGCCTAGCCTGTCCCAGGATCTTGGTGTTGTCCCAGTCGAAGTCGTGGTTCTCCCTTGTCCATGTGGATTGAGATGAGCGAGTATTGGTCGTGTCTTTTTGTAGCCAGTTGGTGTTCAATGGATCATATCATCTCTGCTAGCTCAGTTAAAAGTTCAAGCTAAATGATCTTTAAAAATAAGTTCATGGGGTGTGGATATCACTTGTCAGACCAGTATTATTGCCCATCCCTAAATATTCTTGAGGATTATTATGAATGCTGTAGTCCATGTTGTGCAGGTAGAAGCACAGAATTGTCATGAAGGGAAATCTAGGATTTTGATTCAGTGACCGAGAAGGAATGGTGATATATTTCTGAGTCAGGATGCTGTGTGAGTTGGAGAGGAACTTGCAAATGGTGATGTTCCCATAGATCTGTTGCCCATCTTTCTAGATGGCCAAAGGTTTGGAAGGTGCTGCCAAAGTAGCCTTCGTGAATTTATGCAGTGTATCTTGTAGATGGTATACAAACTGCTACTGAGCATGGGTGGTGGAAGGAGTGAATATTTATGGATGTGGCATTTGTTCTGGACCAGACCAGACCCCGTCAAAATACATTAGGAAGGTAGCCTAGACATGATCCTTTCCATATTTTAAAGGTAAATGACAGATGCTGTGTTCCAGATGCAATTCGATTGGTCAAACTACTTGACATTAAACAAAACACAATTTATATAAACACTATAGTTAAAATATAACAAAAGAAAGAAGAACTTGGAATAATTTAGCTCTTTACTTAACAGAATAATAGATACTATGACAGTGACTAATTAACTAATGTGTAGTTGTTCAAATGCTGCCTCAATGTCAAGAGCAGTCACTCTTGCCTCACCCCTCTTGTAACCTTAATAAACATGGAATTTCTGGCTGTTGGGGCTTTCCTAGTTAGTCATGGAGCTGGATTTTAGTGCAAGGGAAGCCAGAGCCAGAGCCAGGAATGCTGTTCAACCCATTATGGGGCTTCGGGTCATCTCTGAGCTGCTAGCCTGGTTACTGAAGGTGATGTTACTTAACTGCTTCAACACTGCGGTCTAATCTGTCCCCTCTAATTTCTCAGCGATTTGGGTCTGCACTTGTTCCTTGGGGATCCCTGCAACTGAAAAACAGGCAATATGCCAAGGATTTCAAACCCATCGATGAGGATTGTGACTGTCCTACATGTAAGAGGTAGGAAAGGTGGCTGATTGTTCTCTGCATCTCACATCAACTGCTGGTCATCTTTATTACTGTGGATGAAATATCTCCATCTTGCAGCTTTGAAGGTAACGCAGTTAGCCTTTGTTCCTGAGTTAGAAGGAGAAAACTCTTGCACATCATCCAGGGAAGCTAATGAAAAATTTGTATATCTGCATGGTTATTGAGTGCAACAAGACTGAATTATGCTGTGATGCTGTCCATTGTTTAATTGCTTGTGTAGGTGAAATGTGAAGTGTGGCAACTGTAATAAATTATTTAATGGCAGTTATCCCAGGCAGAGAGAGTGAATCATAGGGGCCCATTGAGTCCGTGTCAAAAGCAACCACCTAAACTATTCCAGTCTTATTTTCCAGCATTTGGTCAGTGGTGCCTGTGCGTGTGTGTATGTTGATGGGGATGGGAAGAAGCAATGTTGTTCGTGCTACAGTTTTGCAGAAAACCACCAATATAGTTTGTGGTATTTGTGTCAGAGGGGTTGCTAGTCCAACCAGTCCAGGAATCTGTCTAATCTGCTGTCCTACGTTTGTCAGGTACACTCGAGCATATCTACATGCCCTGTTCAGGAGTGACACTGCTGCCCTCCATCACATCACCATCCACAACATTGCCTACCAGGTGAGGAAGCTGTACTCTGTATCTAACCCCATGCTGGACCTGTCTGGAGTATTTGATTGGGAGTGTGATGAGGAGGATTTACTTTGTTTAAGAATGGAGGGAGTGTAACTCTATATTTAACATCACACTCTACCTATCCTGGGACAGTTTGATGTGAACAATGCAGTGGATGTTTTACTCTGCATCTAACCTCTTGCTGTACCTGTACTGGGACTGTTATATGGGGAAAGAGGGATGGGCTTTACTTGCAGTTTAAAGGAGTAAAGGAAGCTTTACTCTGTATCTAACCCTGCATTGTTCCTGTTCTGGGAGTGTTCCCCACACAATACTTCATCTGTCAGATCTTTGTCAACTCAATCTAACCTATTTATATGTTGATGTAGCTGCCTCACCTCCACTTTACAACTTGCTTTCTAATCTATCTTATGAATATCCCTTCATTCATATCACTTATATAGATTGTGAACAGTCGAGGGCAGCACTGAGTCCTGTGGCACATCTCTCACTATATCTTGATAGCCTGAGAAAAGAACTACTTATGCTTACTGTCATGCTTCCTCTTAGCAGTCAATCTTCTGTCCCTGCCAATATGCTATTCCCTCATACAATAAGCTTTTACTTTCCACAGTAACCTTGTTGAGGTATTTTATCAGATGCCTTCTAAGTACGTCTATTGGTTTCCCTTCCTTGTAGCATGTGTTCATTCCTCAAAGAGCTCCAACAGATCAGTTAAACATTACGTCCCTTCACAAAACCATGTTGACTCTGCCCAATTATGTTGAATTTATTTAAGGGCTTTGTTAACATTTTCCCCAACATATTAACTGGCTTGTGGTTTCCTGCTTTGTTCTCCCTCTTTTTTGAACAAATAATTTGCTGTCTTCCCATGAATCTAAGGAGTTTTTAAAAATTGAAACCAATGCATCAACTCTCTCGGTAGCCACTTTTAAAAAGGACCCTATGGATGCCAGTCCATCAGGAGCTGGACACATCAGACCACATCTCCATTTTACTCAGGACCATTTTCCCTGAGTGATTTGTCATTTCAGTTCCTCAATTTTCATATGGCTCAGATAATTCAAAAGATTCTGCTTCTTACTTTAGTCCTAGCTCTTCACACTGACTATGCAAAATCTCATACTTTATCCTGTCTAGATGTCTTGAACCCTGGTCATGGGCAGATCACAGTTGCCTCAGACTGACACTCTGCTGCATAGAACAGTGTAAATCCCTCAGACTATATTGTCCCTCATTATCGTTGCTCCCCCTACTTGGATACCTTCCTGTCCCACGGTTCCATGGTCGTTTAGCTCATCCACTCTGTGGTAGCCCTGTTCAAACAAGCTGAACCTCAAACCTGTTGGACAATTGCAAAGGGTGATGCTCCTGCTTTCTGGGTCTCCTTACCTGTCTCCCTCACAATCTCAAACTCCTGTCCCTGACAACATTTGTTCAATTTGCAATGTCTCCTGGAACAATGCTTCCAGATAACTTCCTGATGTGTCACTGTACCCATAGATCAGTCTCTAGGTAGTAAAGTTCAAGCTGAAGCTGCTTGAGCTTTAAACTCTTACTGCAAGTATGTTTGCCCTGGATCACACTAGGCATGCAGGAAGTCCCACATATGTAGCTCTACAGACACATCACTCATCCTGACATCCTTACTATATTCAAATTTAACTTTGTCATTTTATTCAATTATGTTTGCTTAGCTTTTTAGCATTTGGTGGCAATATTAATGTATAAACTACTTGAACCTTCAGAGTAGAACAAACCTTAGTCATTTACCAGGCAGTCAGCAGATAAGTAGTTGCGTGTGATGTAGCAGAGGAAGAACCAATACCTGGATGCTGAAATACTTAGCAGACAAGAACCTCTTTGCTCTTCCTCCCCTAACTCCCTTATTACCCAACTCCTAGCAATGTTGTAAGCAAGCACTAAAAGGCTGAGCTGATCCAGTTACAGAGAAACCTGCTTCAGCTACTTCTCTATATCTAAATGTACTTCCAGTGGACACCTTGTTAAAACTCAGCTTTAAGCAGAGAACTTCAGAATTTAAACTGCAGATTTATTAAATACTAATTAATGCTAGGTACAAACAAAATTAGATTTGTACAAAAAGAATAAGACTTTTTCATATACCAATTGCCAGCATTCAGTCTGAGCAAACATTCATGCTCTGCCTGCTTCAGCTTTGGTATGTTTGTGCTATTGAGCAAGCAGTACCTATGTGCCTGGTGCCTGTCTGCTGACTATTTGGTGCAGGAGGTGTGATTAACCATGAGTGTCAAGGATAGTTTAGAATAAAAAGCATTTAATAAAAAGCACCTCTCAATGTTTGCGTGTTTATATGTTCTGAAGAGTGATCAGGAGTGAGCCTCACTGCTTCCTTACACTTGTAATGTTGGGACTGTTGCTAATGCCCAGAAATTTGGCTGAACAGGGCTGCATCATGTCATTGCTCCTGTTAGATCCATTGATTTTGCTGAGCTAGGACAATACTTTGTTTTGCAGTTGAACCTGATGTACTCAATCCGTGAGAGTATTCAGCAAGGACGATTTCCAGTCTTCATTCAGCAGTTCATGAAGCGGATGTATGGGAGTAAAGAGGAATACCCACGCTGGGCTGTTGAAGCACTCAGCACGGTCAATGTTCAACTGGAATAGAGGGTCTGGGACACCTATTGCTGAATGAAGGTAACACACTCACCAAGGAAAGGGGCATTCTCCATTATGTATGCTGGAGTCTGTGACCTCTTGCACTCACCTATGTTTGTGTTGCTAGCTGTGTAACTTGTTCCAAAATTAAGTGATTTTTAAGAAATGTTGAATGTATTAACACTTGTGACAGCATCTCCATTATTCATCATGTGATCCTGCCTCCAGGTGTGCGCTGATCCTGGGCAGACTGCCTGAAGTTAGTGCTGGAGCCACAATCCTTTTTATATTATTAACATCAATTCATATGCCTTTTGCCAGTGTGACCTAAAAGTGCATAAAATATGACAGCGAACACTCTTAGAGACACAAAAAGGACAAAATATTCTTAATGCAAGCTTGTTTATGTCTCATTAAAACAGCCAGTTATGAAAACAAATTTTATTTTTCAAGTAAATTTCATTACAAAAAGCGGACTGACTCCTGCCTCATTCCTACAAAAACGTCTTCGCACCCTCTGCACGTGGCTGTTCCCTGGCTTTGTTCTATATTTTTGCTCCATTTTTGCAGCAGCAGCAGGAGCGGTGAGAGCGAGAACCAGGGGGCTGCCGGGAAGGTAAGTTCTTCATTTCGGCAGTGGAGCTGAGTGGGAGCGGTCGAATTGCGCCCTGAGAAGGTGAGTGAACTGATATATTTGGGCAGTGGCTAAACCCAAGATACTACAGGTGTAGTGTCTCCCACCCGCCCCCCCTCCTCTGACCAAAAAAAGAGACTCTGTGGTGTGATGATAAGGTAAGGCTTTTCTTTTTCTTTTTTTTAAATCATGTCCTGGTAAGTAGAGTGATCGGTAAAAATCTTTTCGTTTTATCTATTATTTTATATTCTAGTAGGACTAAGCTAAGCTTAAGAGTAAAAATGGCAGGAGATCCCAGACCTGTGTTATGCTTCTCTTGCTCAATGTGGGAGCTTAGGGATGCAGCTGATGTCCCTGACTCCTACACGTGTAGGAAGTGTGTCCAGCTGCAGCCCTTGTTAGACCGTATGACAGCTCTGGAGCTGTGGATGGACTCACTTTGGAGCATCCGCGATGCTGAGGAAGTCATGGATAGCACGTTCAGCAAATTGGTCACACCGCAGATTAGGATTGTTGAGGAAGAAAGGGAATGGGTGACCAAAAGGCAGAGAAAAAGCAGGAAGGCAGTGCAGGTGTCCCCTGCAGTCATCTCCGTCCAAAACAGATATGCCGTTTTGGACACTGTTGGGGGAGATGGCTCACCAGGGGAAGGCAGCAGTAGCCAGTTCATGGCACCGTGGCTGGCTCTGTTGTACAGAAGGGTGGGAAAAAGAGTGGAAGGGCTATAGTCATAGGGGATTCGATTGTAAGGGGAGTAGATAGGCAATTCTCTGGTCGAAAACGAGACTCCCGAATGGTATGTTACCTCACAGGTGCATGGGTCAGGGATGTCTCAGATCGACTGCAGGACATTCTGAAGGGGGAGGGTGAACAGCCAGCTGCCGTGGTGCCTATAGGCACCAGTGACGTAGGTAATAAACGGGATGAGGTCCTACAAAGAGAATTTAGGGAGTTAGGAGCCAAGTTAAAAAATAGGACCTCGGAGGTCGTAATCTCAGGATTGCTACCAGTGCCACGTGCTAGTCAGAGTAGAAATAAAAGAATAGGCAGGATAAATGAGTGGCTTGAGAGATGGTGCAGGAGGGAGGGGTTCAGATTTTTGGGACATTGGGACCGGTTCTGGAGGAGGTGGGACTATTACAAACCAGACGGTCTACACCTGGGCAAGACTGGAACCAATGTCCTCGGGGGTGCTTTTGCTAACGCTGCTGGGAGGGTTTAAACTAATGTGACAGGGGGATGGGAACCAAATGAGGACGTTAGTGGACAGTAAGGAGGTAGTAACTAAAGCCTGTTAAGAGTAGGCACAGAGCAGATGATGAACGCAAAGGGACAAGTGGTCTGAGGTGCATTTGTTTTGATGCGAGAAGTGTAGTAGGTAAGGCAGGTGAACTTAGGGCTTGGATTAGTACCTGGGAGTATGATGTTATTGCTATTACTGAGACTTGGTTGAGGGAAGGGCAAGATTGGCAAGTAATATCCTAGCATATAGATGCTTCAGGCGGGATAGAGAGGGAGGTAAAAGGGGTGAACGAGTTGCGTTACTGGTCAAAGAGGATATCACAGCTGTGCTGAAGGAGGGCACTATGGAGGACTCGAGCAGTGAGGCAATATGGGCAGAGCTCAGAAATAGGAAGGGTGCAGTAACAATGTTGGGACTGTACTACAGGCCTCCCAACAGCGAGCATGAGATAGAGGTACAAATATGTAGACAGATAATGGAAAGATGTAGGAGCAACAGGGTGGTGGTGATGGGAGATTTTAATTTTCCCAACATTGACTGGGATTCACTTAGTGTTAGGGGTTGAGATGGAGCAGAATTTGTAAGAAGCATCCAGGAGGGTTTTATAGAACAGTATGTAAATAGTCCAACTCGGGAAGGGGCCTGGTGTTAGGGAATGAGCCCGGCCAGGTGGTTGAAGTTTCAATAGGGGATTACTTTGGGAATAGTGATCACAATTCCGTAAGTTTTAGAATACTCATGGACAAAGATGAGAGTGGTCCTAAAGGAAGAGTGCTAAACTGGGGGAAGGCCAACTGTAGCAAAATTTGGCAAGAGCTGGGAAATGTGGATTGGGAGCAGCTGTTTGAGGGTAAATCCACATTTGATATGCGGGAGGCTTTTAAAGAGAGGTTGATTAGAGTGCAGGACAGACATGTCCCTGTGAAAATGAGGGATAGAAAGGGCAAGATTAGGGAACCATGGATGACAGATGAAATTGTGAGACTAGCAAAGAAGAAAAAGGAATCATACATAAGGTCTAGGTGATTGAAAACAGATGAAGCTTTGGAAGAATATCGGGAAAGTAGGACCAATCTGAAACGAGGAATTAAGAGAGCTAAAAGGGGTCATGAAATATCTTTAGCAAACAGGGTTAAGGAAAATCCCAAAGCCTTTTATTCGTACAGAAGGAGCAAGAGGGTAACTAGAGAAAGGGTTGGCCCACTCGAGGACAAAGGAGGGAAGTTATGTGAGGAGTTAGAAAATGAGCGAGATTCTTAATGAGTACTTTGCGTCAGTATTCACCGAGGAGAGGGACATGACGGATGTTGAAGTTAGGGATAGATGTTTGATTAATCTAGGTCAAGTTGGCAGAAGGAGGCGCGGGGGTGTAGTGTTGGGTATTCTAAAAGGCATTAGGGTGGACAAGTCCCCAGGTCCGGATGGGGTCTATCCCAGGTTACTGAGGGAAGCGAGAGAGGAAATAGCTGGGGCCTTAACAGATATCTTTGCAGCATCGTTGAGCACGGGTGAGGTCCCAGAGGACTGGAGAATTGCTAATGTTGTCCCCTTGTTTAAAAAGGGTAGCAAGGATAATCCAGGTAATTATAGACAGTGAGCCTGACATCAGCGGTGGAGAAGCTGCTGGAGAAGGTACTGAGGCATAGGATCTATTTACATGTGGAAGAAAATGGGCTTTAGTGATCGGCAGCATGGTTTTGTGCAGGGAAGGTCATGTCTTACTTGATAGAATTCTTTGAGGAAGTGACAAAGTTGATAGATGAGGGAAAGGCTGTAGATGTCATATACATGGACTTCAGTAAGGTGTTTGATAAGGTTCCCCATGATAGGCTGATGGAGAAAGTGAAGTTGCATGGGGTCCAGAGTGTACTAGCTAGATGGATAGAGAACTGGCTGAGCAACAGGAGATAGAGAGTTGTAGCGGAAGGGAGTTTGTCAAAATGGAGAACTGTGACCACTGGTTTTCCACAGGGATCCGTGTTGGGACCCTGTTGTTTGTGATATACATAAATGATGTGGAGGAAGGTATAGATGGTCTGATTAGCAAGTTTGCAGATGACACTAAGATTGGTGGAGTGATAGATAGTGAAGGGGACTGTCGGAGAATGCAGCAGAATATAGTTAGATTGGAGAGTTGGGTGGAGAAATGGCAGATGGAGTTCAATCCAGGCAAATGCGAGGTGATGCATTTTGGAAGATCCAATTCAAGAACGAACCAGATGGTAAATGGAAAAGATCTGGGTGTTCAGGTCCATTGTAGCCTGAAGGTGGCAATGCAGGTCGATAGAGTGGTCAAGAAGGTGTAGGGCATGCTTTCATTCATTGGATGGGATATTGAGTACAAGAGTTGGCAGGTCATGTTGCAGGTTGGACTTTGGTTCGACCACATTTGGAATACTGTGTACAGTTCTGGTCGCCACATTACCGAAAGGATGTGGATGCTTTGGAGAGAGTGCAGAAGAGGTTCACTAGGATGTTGCCTGGTATGGAGGGCGCTAGCTATGAAGAGAGGTTGAGTAGATTAGGATTATTTACATTAGAAAGACAGAGATTGAGGGGAGACCTGATTGAGATCTATACAGGGTGGATAGCAAGAAGCTTTTTCCCCAGAGTAAGGGACTCAATTTCGAGGGGTCACAATTTCAAGGTGAGAGGGGAAAAGTTTAAGGGAGATATGCGTGGAAAGTTCTTTACGCAGAAGGTGGAGGGTGCCTGGAATGCATTGCCAGTGGAGGTGGTAGAGGCAGGCACAGTAGCGTAATTTAAGATATATCTAGACAGATACATGAATGGGCAGAGAGATACAGATCCTTGGAAAATAGGCAACAGGTTTAGATAGAGGATCTGGATCGGCACTGGCTTGGAGGGCCATAGGGCCTGTTCTTATGTTGTAATTTTCTTTGTTCTATATCCTTTCTACCTTAGCCTACTTCCATCAATTAGGGATGATATTAATTAACATTAAATACAAACTATATTTGATGAGATTATCAAAGGAAATATGTTCAAAGTGGGGCAGGGTATTTATAGATAGGCTAACCTTGGCGATGGGTATATTATTGAAACAGAGGGCAGAATCCGATTGGCCAAGGGCATGTTTAATTAACATGGTAGAAAAAAGCAGTAGGCCATTCTGCCCTTAGACCCTACACCACCATTCAA